GGCTAATTCCTATTTAGTCTTCTAAATGGAATTTAAGTGTCCCCTTCTAGATCCAATGGACTACTTTGGCTCACCTGTCTTAGTGTTCCATAAAATCCTCTGTATTGCTGTATCTTAACTCTAATCAGTATACTGTACAGGGGCAGCAAGATTACAAATTTTGGAGTCAGACACATCTGAGTTCAAATTCTGATTTGAATTTCACACTTATTGTGTGACCTTGGACAAGTTACCTAATATCTCTAAGAATTTCCTTATCTGAAAAATAGAGAATAACAGTATGTAAGGTGCTCAGTATATCACTTCATACATAATAGTGAATAACATGATCACATTGTATTGTACTTGCTGGTTCACTTGTCTGACTATTCCTCTAAACCACAAACGTCTTGAGGAAAGGAACATGTTTATCTCCGAATAAGCTGCATTTAGCACAGTGTTTGGCATATGGTAGATACTTAAATTTTAATGAATATATAAATATTACTTCCATTATAAAAAATTAATTTGTACTTGAAATCCATTCTGTAATGAGGTGCAAAACAAGTGAATAAAAAAATAAAGTCACTCACTCACCAGGCGTGGTGCTCACGCCTGTAATCCCAGCACTTTGGGAGGCCGAGGTGGGCAGATCATGAGGTCAGGAGACCATCCTGGCCAACACGGTGAAACCCCGTCTCTACTAAAATACAAAAATTAGCTGGGCGTGGTGGCATGCGCCTGTAGTCCCAGTAACTCAGGAGGCTGAGGCAGGGGAATGGCTTGAGCCCAGGGAAGTGGAGGACTCCGTGAACCGACATCATGCTACTGCACTATAGCCTGGGCGAGACAGAGCAAGACTCCATCTCAAAAAAAAAAAAAAAAAAAAAAAGAAAATAAACTCACTCATGTCAGGTTTTTAGGTTTTTTTTTTTTTTTTTTTTTTTTTTTTAAAGAATACTGTCTTTAATCATTTTTTTTTTTTCGAGACGCACTCTTGCTCTGCCACCAGGATGGAGTGCAGTGGCGCCATCTTGGCTCACTGCAGCCTCCGCCTCCCGGGTTGAAGCGATTCTCCTGCCTCAGCCTCCTGAGTAGCTAGAACTACAGGCACGTGCCACCATGTCTAGCTAACTTTTGTATTTTTAGTAGAGACAGGGTTTCACCATGTTGGCCAGGATGGTCTCGATCTCTTGACTTAATGATCCACCTGTCTCGGCCTCCCAAAGTGCTGGTATTACAGGCATGAGCCACAGTGCCCAGCCTTAATCATATTTTTTTATAATTTACTTTTAACTATACATATTATGAAATAACAAATGACTCAGTATCTTGCTTTGACATGGCTGATCATATATGCCACGGTACTGCATACCTATATTTTTTCACAGTATGTATTAACCACAAAAATTACCAAACCACACGTAAGACTATCTTTGACAACTACTTAGAAAAGTTACAGTAGAGAGAGATTCAAGATGGCTGTTTAGCAGCAGCTCAGGATTGCAGCTCCCAGTGAAAGTGCAGGGAATGAGTGGACGCCAGACTTCCAGATGAATTTTTGTCGCCCATAGACCAAGAGATTCCCAGCGGAGGAGCCCCATGCATCGCCAGCATGACTCTTTTGGTCTGCGGCAATTTTGTCAGTATCCCAGCACGGCAGTTCTCAGTGCAGAGTATGAGGGACTGGGTGCCCTTTTGGTTGGTGTTTGGAGCTCCAGGAAGGCAGAGTTGCCCATTCAGCTGATTGAAAAGGGGACTGAAGCCGGGAGCCAGACCAGGAGATTCCCAGGCAGAAAAACGCCACGAATCTCAGTGCTGCTGTTTCAGCCGGCGTGGTTGCGGCATGGGAAATTGCATAGATCCCAGCGCCTTTTCGGCAGGCAACTGGGGCACCTGGGAGAGAATCGACTCTTCAATTAGGAAAAGAAAATAAGGGGGCTCCAAGGCAGGGAGCCATGTGATAGGCTCGGCTGGTCCCACCCCCACAGAAAAACAGCAATTGGAAATGCTGACCATTGAGAGTTTCACAGCAAGCACAGCTGAACCCAGGAAGGTCCAGCTCTGTGGGGAGGGGCATCCACCGAAGGAATAACATCATCACCAACAAGGTGGACGTCCACTCAAGAGATCCAATCTGAAAGTCAGCAATTACAAAGATGACAGGTGGATAAATCCACAAAGATGAGAAGAAACCAGTGCAAAAAGGCTGAAAATATCCAAAATCAGAATGCCTCTCCTCCTTCAGGGGATCGCAGCTCCTCATCAGCAAGGGAACAAGGCCTGATGGAGAATGAATGTGATGAATTGTCAGAATCAGGTTTCAGAAGGTGGATAATAAGAAACTTCTGTGAGCTAAAAGAACACGTTCTAATCCAATGCAAAGAAACTAAGAACCTTGAAAAAAGTTTTGACGAAATGCTAACGAGAATAGACAATTTAGAGAGGAATGTAAGTGAATTAACAGAGCTGAAATACACAATATGAGAACTTTGCGAAATATGTACAAGTTTTAACTTGTCAAATTGACCAAGCAGAAGAAAGGCTATCAGAGGTCGAAGACCAACTCAATGAAATAAAACGAGAAGACAAGATTAGAGAAAAAAGGGCAAAAAGGAATGAGCTAAGTCTCCAAGAAATATGGGACTATGTGAAAAGACCTAATCTACGTTTGATAGGTGTACCTGAATGTGACGAAGAGAATGAATTCAAGTTGGAAAATATTCTTCAGGATATTATTCAGGAAAACTTTCCCAACCTAGCAAGGCAGGACAATATTCAAGTCCAGGAAATATGGAGAACACCACAAAGATATTCCTCAAGAAGAGCAACCCCAAGGCACATAATTGTCAGATTCACCAGGGTGGAAATGAAGAAGAAAATGCTAAGGGCAGTCTGAGAGAAAGGTCAGGTTACCCGCAAACGGAAGCCTATCAGACTCACAGCAGATCTTTCAGCAGAAACCCCACAAGCCAGAAGAGAGAGTGAGGGCCAATATTCAACATCGTTAAAGAACAGAACTTTCAACCCAGAATTTCATATCCAGCCAAACTAAGCTTCATAAGTGAAGGAAAAATAAAATCTTTTGTGAACAAGCAAGTACTCAGAGATTTCATCACCACCAGGCCTGCTTTACAAGTGCTTCTGAAAGAAGCACTACACATAGAAAGGAACAACCAATATCAGCCATTCCAAAAATATAAAAAATTTTTTAAAGAGAATCAACATAATGAAGAATCTATATCAACTAAAGGGCAAAACAGACAGCTAGCATTAAATGGCAGTATTAAATTCACATATATTAATATTAATCCTAAATTTGAATCGCCTAAATGCCCCAATCAAAAGACACAGACAGGAAAATTGGATAAAAAGCCAAAACCCATCAGTATACTGCATCTAGACTCATATCATATGCAAGGATACATAAAGACTCAAAACAAAGGGATGGAGGAAGTTTTACCAACCAAATGCATCACTGTGAATATGAGACAGATCAATCAGACAGAAAATTAACAAGGATATCCAGGATTTGAACTCAGACCTGGAACAAGTAAACTTAATAAACATTTAATGAACTCTCCACCCCAAATCCACAAAACATACATTCTTCTCAGTACCACATCATCATTCCTAAATCACTCCTCAGTAATTGCATAGCATTTCGCAGGTTTAAATGAAATATTGGTTGGCTGCTTTTTTGTTATTTTCCTCCCTTATTCTTTCCTGTCTCCATTGTTAAGTACAATTATTGGCATAAAAGAGGTTTTAATACCCGTTTTTAGACTGCATTCTAGCCTGGGCAATAAAGCAAGACTCCTGTTCTCTCTTCCTCTTTTTCTTCCTCTTTCTCTCTTTCGTTATTTTTTTTTCTTTCTTTCTTACAAAAAAAAAAAAAGTTACAGTAAAATAAAAAGCTTCTTAAAACCAAGGGAATTCTCAATCAGAAAAGCTTAATTAATTAAAATCTTTTATAGTCCTTGGGGAAGTGAGAAAAAATTCAGTTTCTTGGTTTGATAAGTTTGACCTATGTAAGAATATAAAAAGAACCTAATTAATTAATGTAATATTTAATGGATTTTTCCATTGTGATGTTTAATTAGCTAGTCTGAACAACACAGAGGTGCTAATCTTTTTTTTTTTTTTTCCAGAGTCTTGCTCTGTCACCAAGCTGAAGTGTAGCGGCTTGATCTCAGCTTACTGCAACCTCCAATTCTCTGGTTCAAGTGATTGTCCTGCCTCAGCTTCCTGAGTGGCAGGGATTGGAGGCACACACTACCACACCCAGCTAATTGGTTTATTTATATATTATTATTATTATTATTATTATTATTTTTGCAGAGACAAGTAAACATTTATTTTTGTACCTTTCCTCTTATGTGTATTTCAAGTCTTTCTCACAAGGCCCCAAGAATCGCCAGATTCAATTATGTCCCTGGGCTTGTCCACTGCTGCAGGAGTCTTAGGGAGCCGTGTACAAATGCTAGAGTTACTCGATTACCAACATTAAACCCTAGGATAAGAGATGCAGCAAAGCAGAACTCCTTCCTCCATGGAATGTGCTGATTTCAGACGAGGCAGCAGCCAATGTGGAACACGCTGGAATTCTTCCTTGGAACTGGACTGTGATGAGAGGTGCCTGCCATGAACATAAGCTACTGTTTTTTTCTTTTCTTTTTTCTTTTGAGACAGAGTGCTCGTTACCTAGGCTAGAGTGCAATGGTGTGATCTTGGCTCACATCAACCTCTGCCTCCCGGGTTCAAGCGATTCTCCTGCCTCAGCCTCCCGAGTAGCTGGGATTACAGGCATGGGCCACCATGCCCGCTAATTTTTGTATTTTCAGTAGAGACAGGGTTTTGCCATGTTGGTCAGGCTGGTCTTGAACTCCTGACCTTAGGTGATCCGCCCTCCTCAGCAGGAGTAAGTACTGGGATTACAGGCATGAGCCACTGCGCCTGGCCAGCTACTGTCTTTTCTTTGACCCTTCCTTTCCAGTTTTTAAAGATAGAACAGTAAATAATCTTCTCTGAAGATCCTTGATACAAATTCTCCAAAACCAAAAACACATGCTTCCACTTCATTGATAAAAATTTGTTGCAGTTTGGCACCTGGTTCTAGTTCAGCTGGCGGATGAGCTGATTGATGCGTTCACCCCGATAGCCAGGTTTGCCCATCTCCTTGAGGAAGCCCACTCTATTTTTGGTAGCATGACGGGCCACTGAGAGGTGGAAAGGGCGCAAGAACCATGAGATCTCCTGGAAATGCTTCCCCGGGAAGGCGATTTCATGAACGAGGTCTTCCAAGCAAATGACACCAAACTTGCCCAGGTGCTCCTCAGTCACAGTGTTGTCTGTCAGAGGGATGGTCTTATTCTTGACCCTGGCTTGTCCACGTTTCAAAATGAGTTCCCGGACAGACTTCAGATTTGGAAATCCCCAGGCCACATAAGGTTCCACTATACGCAGCATTTTTAGGGTCTGGGGAGTGACTTTTACAAAGACACCACTAAAACTTTTCTTTAGGCGAAGTCTTGCAATGGTTCTCTGCACCAGTAAACTCACACCATCAATCCTTTCGATGCGTACAACAAAGGCCAAAGAATGTTTATCTGGCAATTCCAAGGCGTGAGGCTTCACTTCCAGTCGTCTGACACGCACCTTGTCACGTGTCTGCCGCCAGGAATCATGCAGGAATGATTCCAATCGCTTAAACCTGGGCCCTTTTCCTTTCCTCTGCTCCTTCTTTGCCAAAAGTGCCTGCTTTGCCTGAGTGGCTTTGAGGGCTTGATAAGCCTTCCTCTTTTTCAGGAGATTTTCTGGAACCAAAGGGATTTTTCTTTGCTCTTGCTCCGCCATCTTCCCGGTGTCTATTTATATATTATTTTTTTAAGACAGAGTCTCGCTGTGTTGTCCAGGCTGGGGTGTAGTCACGAGGTCTCAGCTCACTGCAACCTCCGCCTCCCAGGTCCCAGTGATTCTCCTGCCCCAGTCTCCCAAGTAGCTGGGACTACAGGCGTGTGTCACCACATCCAGCTAATTCTTTGTATTTTTAGTAGAGATGGGGCTTCATCATGTTGGCCAGGCTGGTCTTGAACTCTGATCTCATGATTTGCCTGCCTTGGTCTCCCAAAGTGCTGGGATTACAGGTGTGAGCCACCGCACCCAGCCCTAATTTTTGTATTGTTAGTAAAGACGGGGTTTCACCATGATGGCCTGGATGGTCTCTATCTCATGACCTCGTGATTTGCCTGCCTTGGCCTCCCAAAGTGCTGGGATTACAGGCGTGAGCCATCATGCCTGCCCAAGGTACTAATTTTTGCTATTCATTTGTAAGGTCTCAATCTGAGAGAATGTTTTTATATTTGATAATCAATATATTTTACTTATTTAATTTAAAAATGGGGTCTCACTATGTTGTCCAGGCTGGAGTGCAGTGGCTATTCACAGATACAATCATAGCACACTACAGCCTTGATCTCCTGGGTTCAAGTGATCCTCCTGCACCTCCTCTGAAGTAGCTGGGACTAAAGGAGTATGCTAGCATGGCCACCTCAATTGTATTTTAATCTACAATGTATTTTTACAGACCTGTACTATAGCTAATATGATTTGTTTTCTTTCTTTCTCTTTTCCTTGGCAGTCAAGGATTGTTTTACTTTAATACTAAACATAAACTGGGTATTTTATTATATAAAATGGAATTCTGAGACCAGGCGCAGTGGCTCACACCTGTAATCCCAGCACTTTGGGAGTCCAAGGTGGGTGGATCACGAGGTCAAGAGATGGAGACCATTCTGGTCAACATGGTGAAACCCCATCTCTACTAAAAATACAAAAATTAGCTGGGTATGGTGGCGCACGCCTATAGTCTCAGCTACTCGGGAGGCTGAGGCAGGAGAATTGCTTGAACCCAGGAGGCGGAGGTTGCAGTGAGCCGAGATCGCGCCATTGCACTCCAGCCTGGGTAATAAGAGTGAAACACCATCTCAAAAAAAATAAATAAATTAATTAAATAAATAAAATGGAATTCTGTTTCTAAAAGATAAGCTTTACTCTGCTCTGAGACTTTTTTTTTTTTTTTTTTTGAGATGGAGTTTCACTCTTGTCCCCCCCCAGGTTGGAGTGCAGTGGCGTGATCTCAGCTCACTGAAACGTTGGCCTCCTGGGTTCAAGAAATTCTCCTGCCTCAGCCTCCCAAGTAGCTGGGATTACAGGCATGTGTCACCACACCTAGCTAATTTTGTATTTTTAGTGGAGACGGGGTTTCCCCATGTTGGTCAGGCTGGTGTCAAACTCCTGACCTCAGGTGATCCGCCCTCCTCAGCCTCCCAAAGTGCTGGGATTACAGGCATGAGCCACAGCGCCCAGCCTCTGAGCTATTTTTTAATGCATTATGCAAAGGAATAAAGATTTTACAATGATGATTCCAAAACTATGTTACAGTATATGGACACCATGGTGAGGTATGCTATAATCCATGGCTCTTTCAGAATACAAGCGATCAATGGTTTATGTCAATTTATAATCCATTGGTTTTTTTTTTTTTTTTTTTTTTTAAGATAGAGTTTTGTATCACCCAGGCCAGAGTACAGTGGCACAGTCTCAGCTCACTACAACCTCTGCCTTCTGGGTTCAAGCAATTCTCCTGCTTCAACCTCACACATTGCTGGGACTACAAGCATGAGCCACCAGGCCCATCTAATTTTTGTAGTTTTAGTAGAGATGGGGTTTCCCCATGTTGTTCAGGCTGGTCTCGAACTCCTGACCTCAAGTGATCCATCTGCCTCAGCCTCCCAAAGTCCTGGGATTACAGGAGTGAGCTACCACACCCGGCCAATCCACTGCTTATTTATCACCAGTATGTGCTTTATTGGCTTCTAAAAGATCAGATACTGAATATATGGCATTACTATAGATTGCAAACTAAACAAAAATATTTCTCTTTTCATTTAGATATATATTTTTTGAGACAAGGTCTGGCTGTATCACTCAGGCTGGAGTGCAATGGTGCGATCTTGATTCACTGTAACCTCTGCCTCCTGGGTTCAGGCCAGTATCCCGGGCTCAGACTATCCTCCCACCTCAGCCTCCTGAGTAGCTGGGACTACAGGCATGCACCACCATGCCCAGGTAATTTCTGTATTTTTTTGTAGAGACAGGATTTTGTCATGTTGCTTAGGTTGGTCTCAAACTTGGGAGCTCAACCAATCCACCAACCTTGGCCTCTCAAAGTGCTGGGATTAGAGGCGGGAGCCACTGCACCCAGTTTCTCTTTTTACTTTAAAAACAAAAACCAAAAAAACAACCAAAAACACAAACAGGATTTTTTTACAAAGTAGATATTTCCTTTTTTTATAGAGATGGGGTTTCACCATGTTGGCCAGGATAGTCTCGATCTCCTGACCTCGTGATCTGCCTGCCTCAGCCTCCCAAAGTGCTGGGATTACAGGCATGAGCCACTGTGCCCATTCTCCAAAGAAGACATTTCTTTAGTAAGATGACTGCTGCATTAGGAAGTAAAATTATATAGAAAATAGGTACCTTCAGCTATTTCAATAATAATGAAATTGAAAAATTTAAACAGATTGCAAGATTAGTCAAGTATTAAATGAAAAAAATATATTTCCAGGCATCTTGGTAAGTGAAAAATAATGTATTTTTTTATTTTTTGCCATTGTTATAAGCCATACACCAATTTGTGAACTATTATTTGTCTATGTTTGAATAAGTTCTGATTTCTCAATTATGTTTTTAATAAAGAGCAATAATTATTAACTTTTTCTTTACTTTCATTAGAGGCAAGAGCTTAGAGAAATATTTGGTGGAAAACCTTTAGACGGCTCTTTATCTATAGGTAATCCCTGAGTAAGATACTTTTTTGGGTGAAAGATAAAATGAAAATCCAACCAGCCTATCTACCTCCAAAGGAAGGTTTATTCTAGTTAGGGAAGTGGATGCTCCTTGCAGAAGAATCAGCATCTATAAAGGCAGAAAAGCAGAAAATAACATAATATCTTTGTGTGTGTGTGTGTGTGTGTGTGTATGTGTCCATCAATATGTGAATGAATAAAGAAAATGTGGTTAACATAATATCTTTAGAAAATCAGGGTGAGGGCCAGGCATGGTAGCTCATACCTATAGTCTTAGCACTTGGCCAAGGTGGGTCGATCACTTGAGCCTAGGAGTTTGAGACCAGCCTGGGCAACATGGTGAGACCCCCTATCTCTATTTTTAAAAAATGCAGGGCACAGTGGCTCATGCCTGTGATCCTAGTACTTTGGGAGGCTGAGGTGGGCAAATCACTTGAGGCCAGGAGTTTTAAGACCAGCCTAGCCAACATGGTGAAACCTCATCTCTACTAAAAATACAAAAAAATTAGCTGGATTTGGTGGTGGATGCCTAGAACCCCAGCTATTTGGGAGGCTGAGGCAGGAGAATCTCTTCAACCTGTAAGGCAGAGGCTGCAGTGAGCCAAAATCGCACCACTGCACTCCAGCCTAGGTAAAAGAGAGAGACTCTATCTCTAAATAAATAAATAAATAATTTAAAAAGACAACCACAGTGAGTTCAATAATGCTGGAAAATCCAGCGAAGCTAAATTAAAAGGAAAGAACACCAATGGCAGGGAAATTTGTTGGGAGGCTACTAAAGTAATCAAGGCAAGAAATGATAAAAGCCTAAACTAAGCAAATGGTGGTAATCAAAATTCAATTTATACATTTGCATTGAAATTTTTCCCTATAGGATATGTTTATAATACAGCTTAAGAATCATAAAATGAACATCATAATTATAATCTCTCAAGTCTTAATGCCTAGGTTAATGTCCTGGTGACGCTGCTGATGGTGAAAACTTATTCTTTAAATTCTATGTGCCTCAGCTTTTTCATCTGCAAAACAGGTTAAAAGCTTTTATCATATACTTTTTATGATGATTAAAAGAGGTAATAAATATAAAACAGTGCCTGGCCGGGCACGCCTGTAATCCAAGCACCTTGGAGGCCAAGACGGGCGGATCACCTGAGGTCGGGAGTTCAAGACCAGCCTAAACAACATGGTGAAACCCCGTCTTTAAAAACAAAACAAAACAAAACAAAAAACAGTGCCTAAACAAGCTCTCACAGAATACAGTACATAGCAGCAAGAGAAACAGGAACAGATATCTACTATTCATACTTGCACAATTGTTATTTTTAGTGTAGAAAATGCTGACCCTCTGCAAGTTCGTACATTGTTAACTTACAGAAAGACATTTGTATTTATCAATCCAAGATTACAGAATACCCTGGGCACGGGGTTTTTATTAGACAGAAAATTGTTTTTGTTTTAAAACACTCAAAACTATTTCTAGATATATCGTTAACCTGTGACCCTGAAAACGTTGAAAATAATTTTGTTCCTCGAATTATATGTAAGTATATTGTGAATATGACCAGTATCTTTCCAAGTAATGAATGAAACTATTATAAGCTGCCTTAAACCAGGACTTTATTTATTTGAATAAATGTTCAGTTGCCAGAAATCAAACCCCAGAACTTGAGATCATTCCTTTTGCAAAATCTGTTATAGCTTGATTTAATGACTGCCATCTCATATTTATGTGATGTTAGATTCCATAAAGAACATGTTTACAACATAATTCTTGCTCTTTAGAGTTTCAGCCTAGGTAAAAATACTATTTTGGTGAAACCCCCGTCTCTACTAAAAGTACGAAAATTAGCCAGACATAGTGGCACACACCTGTAATTCCAGCTTCTTAGGAGGCTGAGGCAGGAGAATCTCTTGAACCTGAGGGGCAGAGAGTGCAGTGAGCTGAGATTGTACCACTGTACTCCAGCCTGAGAGAGTGAGATTTCATCTTA